TAAAATACTCTTATTTCGTGAAGGATAGGAATTATTTTGGAACAGTAACAACCCTAGAATAGCACTATCTAATGAACTGTGGTGATGGAAACGTTCCATATCTGTGCTGTTCCATATGGTAGTCACCAGGAACATGTGACTATTAAGTCCTTAAAATGTGGCTAGTGCAACTGAAGAACTGAATTTTAATTTTTCTTTAAAATTGCTTAATTTTTTATCTTTTTTAAGGCATAACATTTATTGGTACATTTTAGATACACATAATAACGTTCATTGTATTAAATTTGTATCTGTACATAATATTATCTTGCTTATATTTTTCCAATTCCCTCCTTCAACTGCTCTTCCCCTCCTTATTTACAAAAGCTTTGCTTCCATTTTTTCTTGTTATTTTTTTCCTTGTCCCTTCTTTCCTTTACCCACTCCCCTTTCTTTGTTCCCCCTCATTTGAACACTTTCTTCCCATTTCCCAATATCTGTTAAACATTTTGTTTCATTTCCACTTTCAATTTCTCACACCAGCAAAACAATATAGTGTTTAAACTTGTGTGTCTAATTTATTCCCCTTAGGTGTTTCATCTCAAGGTGTATCCATTTAGTTTAAAATGTCTAAAGCTTGTCCTTCTTTAAGGGAGAGTAGTATTCCATTGTGGTTTTTTTAAACCCACATCTTGTTTATCCATCTGTCACTTGATGGGTTTTTGGGCTCTTTCCAAGATTTAGTTATTACAAACTGGGGCTGTAAACGTGGGTGTGCATATATAGCTGTGGTATGATGCTTTTACTTCTTTTGGAAAGATAATAAGAAGGGGAATAGCTGGGTCAAATGAAACTGCTAGTTTTAGTATTTTGAGGAATCGCCACACTGATTTTCACAGTGGTTGCATCAGTGTGCACTTCTAACAGTAGAGAAAGGCTTTTTTCCCCACAGCCTCACCAGCCTTTGCTATTGGTTGATTTTTTGGTAATAACATTTTTTTTTTTTTTTTCTGGAGAGAGGTATAATCTCAGCAGTGTTTTAATTTGCGTCTCTCAAATGACCAGTGATGTCAAACATTTTTTTATATATTTTGACATTTCTACTTATTCATCTATTCATTTCACATGTTCATTTCTGGATTGGGTCTTTAAATGGGGGTTTGATTTTTTTTTTTTTTTTTTTTTTTTTTTTTTTTTTTTTTTTTAAGTCCTTTGAGGAACAGCTGGCAAAATATTTTTCCTATATTGTGGGCTGTCTGTTTATTCTGCTGGTGGTTTCTTTAGTTGTGCAGAAGCTTTTTAATAAGATAAAATCCCACTTGTTGATTCTTTGTGATGTTTCCTATGTGATCGGGGTTTTGTTCATAAAGTCTTTGCCTACACCCATGTCTTCCAAAAGTTCTACCTATTCTATGTCCTAGTAGATTTAACAGTTAGATCTTTGATCCATTTTGATTTGAGTTTAGAGCATGTTGAAAGATAGGGATTGATCTAGTTTTAATCTTCGGCATGTGGAAAGCCCATTTTCCAGGACAGTTTCTTAAAGGGACTATCTTTTCCATTGAAGATGTTTGGCTCCTTTGTCAAAGATGATAAGATGGCTGAGAACATTTGGAGTTGTTTCTGCATCTTCTAATCTTTTCCATCGATCAAGTCTTTTTTTTTGCCAGAACCATGCTGTTTTTTATCACAGTAGTTTTGAAGTATAATTTCAAGTCAGGGATTAAGATGCTCCCTGCCATGCTTTTGTTCTCCAGAATTGCTACTGCTATTCTAGGTCTCTTTGGTTCCAAATGAATTTTAGAATTGTTTTCTGTAATTCTGCGAGAATTTGGTTATTAAATCTAGAAGTCTTTTGGTGGAGTTTTTGGGGTCTTATCTATAGAGTATCATGTCATCCACAAGTAATGATAATTTAACTTCTTCCTTTCCTTTTCTTATTCCTTTTATTTCTTTCTCTGTGTGATTGCTCTGGCTAATGTTTCCAGAACTATACTGAATAAGAGTAGTGACATGAACATCCTTGTCTTATTCTTGGTTTTAGAGTGGAAGCTTTCAGTTTTTGTCCATTTAGTATGATGTTGGTTGTTGGTTTGTCATAGATGGTTTTTATCAGATTGAGATAAAGATCATCTATTCCAGTTTTTTGTTGGGTTTTTTCATGAATGTGGGTTGGACTTTGTCAAACACTTTTTCTGCATCTCTTGAGATGATCATATGGCTTTTGTCCTTGATTCTTTTAGCATGGTGTATAATAGTTATTGAATTGTGTATGTTGAACCATCCCTGCATCCCTGTGATGAATCCTACATGGTCATGGTGTATAATCTGCTTGATGATTTCCTTCATCTGCATTCTGTTTGCCAGTATCTGAGGGAGGATTTGTGCATCTATGTTCATTGGGGAGATGTCTGTCTCGGAAGTGCAAGGTCCAGAGTTTAATCCCTAATACAAAAAAAGGAACAGAAAATGACTAACTGTGCTGACTATTAATTTGCGACTTTTAACTATATGAACTACATTTGTGGTTATATAACAAAATCTAGAACAAACCAGAAAATTGTATGGAGGAAACATGTCCTCAGTGTGGCAATTTTACCTTCAGGAGAGAAAATTTGAAAAGAGGTTCCAAAATAATTTCAGAAAATTCTCTCACCTCTGAGATAAAGTAAATGTACAAATCATATTTTATCTTAGGTAACTATGTAATAATTATTACGTTTAATATTAGGTACTTTAAAGTATTTTACATATATTAACTCAATCCTTAAAAAATAGTATTAGCCACTATTCCTATGTACCAGATTACAAAACTTAACATATAAAGATAACTGACTTAACTAAAGCTAAATTCTAAAGCAAACTGGCTCTATGCCCTGATTCTTAACCGTTAACCTCAGGTTGCCTTTCCTGTTTCAATTTCTTCCCTAATTAACACTGAGCTTTGCTTTGCATAAAGCTTATCTTAAGGCCTATAATATTACTTTGCTTAATTGGAAGTTTTTTCGATTTTTAAAATTTTTGTTAGTTCATCTTTGCAATACATAATGATTACATTCATGGTTGGGAGTTGGTATGTGTACACAGAACAACTTGTTTCTTTTTACTTCCCCTTAAGTGGAAGTTTAGACATCCAGAGCTCAGTGTCAGTCATGTTCCCATTGCTTTATGTTAGAAGGGTGCCAGGGGGTGGTTGTTGATGGCGTGCAGATGGTTAGTATGTTAGAATTCTCAAGAGAGAAGCAACAGGATACATATAGAAAGATAAATGGAGGAAGATGAGGGGAATTTGCTCATACAATAACGGAGGCTAAGAAGTCCCACAATTAGCGTCTGCTAATGAGAAATAGGGAAGCAAGAAGCTGGAAGCATGGTTGAATTCAAATCTCAAAGCTGCAGGACTAAGGAAGTTGATGGTGTAACTCGGCCTGATGCTGAAGGCCTCATAACCCTGGGTACCAGTAGTGTAAACCCTGCATTCCAGAGGCAGGTGTACCATAGCTCTGATGTCCAAGAGCAAAAGGTGACTTAGTACTTGGAAGCAGTGTAGCTGCTGTGGTGGGGAGGGTAGCTTTCCATCTGTTCTGTACCCCCCCGCCCAGTTGTTTGGATAGTGCTAACCCACACTGATGGCAGATCTTCCTCCACTTTGTCCTTGGAGTCCATGCCACTGATTTGTAGAAACTCCTCACAGACATACCCAGAAACAATGGTTTACTAACTCTATTGGTATCTTTTACTCCAGTCACAATCGTCACAGTTTATATTTGTATAAGAAAGACAGTGAAAATTGAGTGTATAGTGGAAAATGCGTATTTTTCATAATTTATATACTAATGAGCACAGTGTTATGATGACTTATTTTCCAAACTAAAAATGAGGGATATTATGTTTTTTGGATGTGAAGTCAGGCTTAAAAATATATACAAACTTTTAAAATTTGGAATTTTCAGACCATGAAGTGGCTTTTTAGTCTGGCACACCAGTACTACATCTGGGACTTTCTAAAAACTACTTGCTTGTGTCCCTCTTCCACATTCTGATTCAGTGGGCAGTTTATAAATTAGAATATTTGATACTTCTGATATGCCTCTTAGTTGAGATCCACTGATTTATGAAAGTAGATAGACTATCCAAGAATTATACCATTTTGCAAAAGCCAAGGCTTGGACTATCACTGTGTTTGGTAAAGGCAGAATTCTTAATTTTCACAAGTAGTTATCAGTGCAGTAGACATCTGTTCTGAAACTCTTGCTTAACCTTTCCTTCTCTCCATAGTCTTTACTGTTTGGTATCTTTCTGGTCAAACTCACTTGTTCCATAACTCTGGAGCTCTGTGATCCATTGTGTATGGAATCACTTCCACCTTGCCCCTGCCTTTCCTGTACAGTGTAGACTTCAGAGTTATTGTGAGACACTTCCTAAAATTATTGGAATATTACATTTAGGCATTTTCTGTCTTCACCTGTAATGCTTTGCTGTTATTCACTGAGGTTTTCCAAGGTAGCAGAGGCCTCAGGTTTCCAGCTGTGAAGTATAAAGGGTCTTCTAAACTGAAGGGAATAAAAGAACAGCCATGGCAAGTAAAATTACTAGTGCTTCCTTTCTTAAGAGCCAAACTGAAAAGAGATTATCTAGTATTGGTTTAAGTTTTATTGTAAGAAAAAAATTAAGCCAAGGGTGAAGATTGACTAGTCCAAGATAGCACAACTGATTTTTATGTAAATAATGTAAATATGTAGCTCAAATAGTTATACATATTGTTAAAAAGCAATGAGAAATAGCACTACAAGAAATGCAGTTATTCTGTTGATACATTTTTCTCTTGTTTTCTTTGCTTATTATTGAAAGTATAAGCCATATAATTGTTTTATCTTTCCATTGGGAAATAATTGAGCAAAGTGTTTTAGTTCCTTTTTAAAGCACATTTCCAGTTTTTAGCTCCTTTTTTATATTGAGTTAATAATAATATACCTATAGTAAACTTGTTCTGTTTTTGTTTTCTCTTCAATAAATTTCAGTTAAAGAGAAACTGACTGCGGATCCAGACAGTGAAATTGCTACAACCAGCCTAAGGGTTTCTCTACTATGTCCAGTAAGTGGTATATAATACTTGCTTTCAGGAAGGCTTAATGTGTATTTCCTCTTTTCTAGTATCTGAGAAATACAGTTTAATTTTAAACTATGCCTCTTTGTTAGTTCATGAAACAAGGAAAGCTAACAATAGGATTTGGAACCTAAGCAAGTCTAAAACTTCTACATTTAGTAAGATTTATCTATATATTGCCTGCAGTTAATCACTGTCTTTCAAATTCAGGCATAAAAATTTCAAAATAAGAAGTGTTTATTGCCTCAAAGGACTTTAAAACTTTCACTTTAAGAAATGTACTCTTCTGTTTGTTTTTTTGGTACTGGGGATTGAAGTCAGGCCCTTGCACTTGCCAGGCAGTCAGCAGAAACACTGAGTCAAATCCCTGGCCCTAAAAAATGTTCTCTTCTGAATAAAAATCTAGCCATAGTTACTTAACTATTTTGTCAACAATGGCTATAAAATCCCCATCATTTAGGCCTTCCTCACAAGTGCAAAGTCCCGAGTTCCATCCCACTACAATAAATAAATAAACAAGCCAACCAACCAAGCCCATCATTTAAAAATTATTGTACACCAGGTGTGGTGGCATATCTCTGTGATCCCAGCACTTGAGAAACCGAGGCAGGAGAATCGGCACAAGTGAGAGGCCAGCCTGATTACACACATGCTATAACAAGTATAACTTGCTGTCTCAAAAAAAGAAAAGGAACTATTCTAGTCAGCTGAAATGAAGTTGTTACATAATAGGAAGATTTTTTTAACCACAAAATAAAGTCAAAATCAGTTGTTTGTTTGAAATAAATGTATGATCCAAAGACTTAACTGGATTGTTAAATTTGTGAAGGGAAAGTCTCAAAAATATGTGGTGTTAATCTTGGCATAGTGTCACATACCTGCAATTCTTACACCCTGGGAGGCTGAAGCAGAAGGAGCGTAAATTTGAGTCTATCCTGGGCAATTTAGTGACTTATGGAGACCTTGTTTTATTGAAAAAAAAAAAAAAATTACAGAGGGGTAAGGATATAGCTTGGTACAAAGGCCCAGGATTCAGTTCTCAGTACCACAAAAAACAAAAGTAAAACAAAATGGTGTTAAGGTTTTTTTTTCTTTTCTTTTCTTTTTTGGTATCAGGGATCAATCTCAGGACCTTGCACTTGGAAGGCAAGTGGCAGCACCACTGAGCTAAATCCCCAACCCAAGCTTTTTTTTTTTTTAACTAATTAATTAGATCCACTAATAGTGATTGTAGATGAATATGCCTTTCTTATGAAGATATGTGAAAAATTAATATATTGCTTGGACATTTAATTATATCTAAACTAGAGAGAAACCACTAAGAATGAAAGACATCTGTTTCCTGATTCACCTGGATTGTAGAATCAGGCTTGATTTGAAAAGTTTTGATATTAAAGTCCTGCTAACCTCAGATGATAATGAAGTTACTGGATTTTTGCTGGTTTTCTTTCATTTTTTGGTACTGGGGGTTAAACCCATTGCTACCCTATCATTGAGCTACATCCCCAGTCCATTTTAATTTTTGATACAGGGTCTCCTTAAGTTGCCTATACCAGATTTGAATTTGCAGTCCTCCTGCCTCAACCTCTTAAATTGCTGGGACATGCCATAGTGACACATGCCATAGTACCCAGTTGGAGTTACTCTATCTTTATTAAATAAATGAGACTCTCAAAACATTTATTTTTAAGAAAATTTATGATTAGAGAACAAAACTAGAATTTACACCATGTAAATTATATAAAAATACAATTAGTTACTGTTTTGTTTTTCTTTTTTTAAGACGATCTCACTATGTATGTAGTTCAGGCTGGCCTTGAACTAATGGGGTTCCTTCTGCCTCAGTCTCCCGAGTGCTGGGATTACAGGTGTATACCACCACACCTGGCTGGTTATATATTATATTATATAATTATATCAACATATATTATAGTATATGTAATATAACAATACAATATAATGTATAATACATATATATATAGTGTACATATTATTATGGTATATATTGTGTGTGTATATGTACACACACACACACACACACACTGGTACAGGGAATCAAACTCAGGCTTTGCACTGAGGGCTTAGTTACTACTAAATTCTTAAACAATTTTAAACAGAATTAAATCTTATTTGCCCCACATTGTAGTCTTTTATAATTTATAAAATCTTAGACACAATACAAAAAAGTCATTAAGTCATGAATTAATTTATAATAATGTAGTTTTATGTAACTTAAAAATAAAATTTTTTGCTGGGCATGGTGGCATGCACCTGTGATCCCAGCGCTCACGTGTCTGAGGCAGGAGGATGTCCATGCGTTTGAGGTCAGCCTCGGCTACCTAGTGAGTTCAATGCCAGCCTGGGCTACATAGCACAGCCCTATCTCAAAAAAACCAAACCAACAACAACAAAAACTTTTTTTAAGGAAAGTATTATTGCTCAGGGAATTCCTGCTCATTATAAAAATTCTATAAGTTACAGGAAAAAAAGTAGTGAAGTGAGTAAAAACCACCAAGCCGTCTTCTTGCATATGTCCTTTTATTCTTTCTATAACTTCTCTTATTCCTGTACATAGAGCTATTCTTTTGTTAAGGAAGCTGCTTTGACTCCAGGCTTTTTATGTTATTTTAAAAAATGCTTTTGCCGGGGATTTAGCTCAGTGGTTTGTGGCCTGCCTTGCGAGCGCAAGGACCCGAGTTCAATCCCCGGTACCAAAAAAAAAAAAAAAAAGTTTTTAATTAAGTGACCAGGTAAATGTAACAGCCAGTATATTATAAAGGCAACTTATATTTTTTTTGTCTTGTTTTTAACATGTACAACATTTGTTCAAAGACCAGGCAAATAGAATGGTAAGAAGAAAAGGTTATACATGCATCTTTATGTGTACATGTGTATATATACACACATCCTCTCCCAAATCCTGACTTATCCAATACCCCCTTCCACTGATCCTGCCCTACCTAATTCAGAGACTATGACAAATTTTAAAAGTACATAACACTTTGTTTTCCACTCAAATCACAGGGAGAAGTCTTATTAGCATTCTCTCTTTAAAACCATTTATAGTTATGCTAATGTATATGATATTTATAGCATTTAATATTTGTGTGAAGCATTTATTCAAATAAATAAGCAGTGTGGTATAAATCTCTGATGTTTTATGAGTGGAACAAATTTTGAATTTTTTTTTTGATACCGGGGATCGAACTTGGGTTCTTGCACTTGGAAGGCAGGTGGTGGAACCACTGAGCTAAATCCCTAGCCCCAAATTTTGAATTTTTAGTTCAGATATTCATCCTTATATTACTAGTTTGTTGTTTTGTTTTGTTTGGGTACTGAGAATCAAACTCAGGACCTTGCACTCAGTGCCACTGAGCTAAATCCCTGGCCTGTCCTCATATTATTAGAAAAATATTAATTATATTTTGCCCCTTAAACCTCTTAATTTAGTGGACCACCTTTTAATTTTCCTTCCCATATTCCCCCACTTGTCATGTTTAATTCCAACAGTGTTTGCAGTTCATTTTCAGTTGGCATATGCTTTCAAAATTCAGATTATAAAATAAAAACTATACATAATCTATAATTTAATAACTTGCATGGATTTCTGTTTGGCTAAAGGGATAATCCCTTTACATTTATCCAGGAACAATAAGACCATATATTGTAGATCTGTTTTTACTCAAAAATAAAATACGGCAATGACAATTTGTCTATATATTACATTTATAGAATAATAAAAGATCTGCCCCCTTTGAAATATGTAAATTTGCTGTCTCATTGTACATTTGAATTGCCCTTGTAAGTTTGAAATAAATGGGTTTCTGTTATTTGTGTGCCATTTAGCCATAGGCAAGGAAAATAATTGAAACTGTTTTAGTTCTTTGAGAATTTCTTGGTTCTGATTTATTAGAAATAGAACCAGAAGAATCTTTTAGGAGCTGCTTTGTGGGACCTAACCCAGTCCCGTAAACCCAAGTACAATTGACTTGGAGTTGGAGTTGCTAAAAGAAAGAAGGGGGAAGAAACCCTAGACATTTATTTATGAAATATTCGTAACACAAATAGTTGTAAAATTGTTCTTTTTTGGGGGGGGGTACTGGGGATTGAACTTGGGTCCTTGCACTTGCAAGGCAGACCACCGAACCACTGAGCTAAATCCCAAGCTCAAAATTGTTCTTAACATCATACTTTTTGTCCAGTTTCTGCAAGAAAGATGTATGTATTTTATTGCAGTTTTCAGAGACCTTTTGATAAAAGGTGATTTAGACTTCTGTATAGAATGTTTTGTTTTCCAGCGCTGTCAGTTATAACACTCTTAGGGCAGGGTTGGTGGCACTAGCACACTTAAGAATTGTTTTCAAAGAGGTGTTGTTTTCAAATGATGCAAATATCTATCATCTTTTAAAAGGAAAAGAGAAAATTATAATTATCAGAAGAAAATATTCAAATCTCAGCCTTTCCCTCAATAGCAAGTTAAAGAAAATGGATCTATTTGTCAGATACATTTTTTAAAATTTAGTGATTTTAAAAAAAAATTCAGGAATACGGGTATTACCACATATATTATGGCTTTGAAGCAAGGCATTTATGTAACAGCTGATAAGCAATGCATTTGGAAGTGAACTTCTGCTTTTTCTGTAGCAATTTATAAATTTCCTTCCTGCACCATTTAGGTATTGGTGTTTCACGGTGACTCTGTTGGTCACCTGGAGCTGTTCTCTCCCCAAAAGATGTGAACTGACAGCTGCAGATTATGGGGATAAAGATGTGTAAGATAAAGGACTTTGGAGAATAACTGCTTTTCAAAGTATAAATTCTAGTCTGTGTCTTGGATTCTGAAGCCGTTCTTGCTTACTGTCTCACCCATTGTCTCTATAAACCATCCGAAGTAGCCTAATACTTCTGCAGTTCATGTACCTTGTGTGCTATTACTGTATTTGTCTAGGATTTTTTGTCTGAATCTACTTAAGATTAAGGCAATAGTTAAAATACCTACTTAGTAGAAATTTGTACTTCACAGTCAAGGTCTTAAGATATAAAAATTTAGCCTGGTGTAGTGGCACACGCCTTTAATCCAAGTTTTGTAGGAGACTGAGGCAGAAAGATTCCAAGTTCTAGACCATCTTGTGTGACAGTGAGCCCTAATCTCAAAATTGGTCTGAGGATGCATCTCAGTGCAAAAGCCCTGAGTTTAATCCCTAGCACCGGGGATATATATGTGCGTATCTATAGAAAAACGTAATTTGGCACCACCCACCATCCCATTATTTGGAGGAGGCTGTTGTTGGCATTGTTGTGCAGGCTGCCTCATAAAGGGCTACATACAGCCTGCACGCTTTGCATAAATGGTTTCCCCTAGAGCTGCACAGTGTGTGTGACCCAAGTCTTAGCAGTACACTGGACTGTCTTTCTGCTGTATAGCAGGTATATTTCTAAGTGCCAGAGACAAGAACACAGGGCTCCTTTTTTAATTCTTCAACACTATATCTGGTTGAAATGCAGAGGAAATGGTGTTACTTTGAAGATAGAAAAGGAGGCCCAGAAAGGTTAAGAGTAAATCACTGGTACCAGAACAATATTTCGGGTCCCAAATGACAGTTAATTTCTATGGTAGACTAGGAAATTGCACATTTCCCTAAAATTCTTCTAAACCCCTTAACTTATATCCATCTTAGGCTTTAATATTTTTTAAGGTCGCAAATATGTGGAAAGTCTTTGCCAGGCACTTGACATATAGTATGTCTATTGAATGTAGGAAACTCCTATACTCTGTGGCCATTGTGAGCACTTGGGACCCTACCATGGTACAAGGTGTTCTTTAGGGAAAAGGTGGATATGGCAACTCCCTGTGCAGGTTTCTGAACCGTGTGCCTGCCTCACACCCAAGCTAGCAGCTCAGGGACCAGATGAAGTAGATTGCTTCCTGCATGGAGTAGACTCAACCTGTGTCAATTGAAGCAGCAGCTACAGGGCAGGAAGAAAAGTCTCTTGACCTTGTGGACATGCTGAGTTAAGAGCCAAGGTGACAGCCAGTAAGGGGAGAGATGCAGGCACACACATTTCTTCCTCAGAGCAATTATGCCAGTCCTGGAGAATGGGTGATAGGATGCAGCTTTGTCCTGTGAATACTTTTATTTAGCATTAAGACCCATAGTGGTTGCACCAGTCTGCACTCCCACCAACAATGGAGAAGGGTTCCTTTCTCCCCACAACCCCACCAACATTTGTTATTGATTGATTTCTTGATAGCAGCCATTCTTTGTGGGGTGAGGTGGAATCTCAGTGTTGTTTTCATCTGCATCTCTCGAATGACCAGTGATGTGGAACATTTTTTCAGATATTTTCTTGCTGCTTTTACTTCTTTGTCTGAGAAATGTCTATTCATTTCGGATGCCCATTTTTGAAATCAATATGGAGATACCTCAAAGAGCTTGGACTGGAGGTTCCATTTGACCCAGCCATCCCTCTGCTGGGTATCTTTCTAAGAGAACTAAAAGAATCATATCACAGAGAAGTATGTGCACTCATGTTGACAGCAGCACAGTTTGTAATAGCTAAATCTTGCAAACAGCCCATTTGCCCATCCGTTGGAAACTGGATAAAGAAGATGTGGTTTTTCTATAAAATGGAATAGTACTCAGCCATAAAGAATGAGAAAATAGATTCATTCATAGGAAAATGGATACATATTGAAGATATACTCCTAAGTGAAATAAATAAGTCACACATGTGTAAATACCGAATAGTTTCCCTGGTGTGAATAATCTGCAACAATGCATAAGATCCTAATAAGATTACTGACATTTAGAAATGGGAAGAAAGGAGCTAAAGGTGTAGGGAAGGTGGGATGAGTAGGGGAAGAGTAAAAAGAGAAAAGAAAAAAATGTGAGAGAATGAAAAGATGAAAATAAAGTGTTTGTAGATGGGGAGGGGAGGAGGGGGTGAAGGGAGGGCAGAGGTAAGGGGAAAAAATGAGAACCAAGACCTGTCATGTAGAGGTACAAGATCCCAACAATGAATGTAACTGTACTGTATCCCTAAAATGTACTAATAAACTCAATTAAAGCTGGAAAGAAAAAAAAAAGACCCATAGTAAGCCAGGTGTGGTGGTGCATGCCTGTGTTATCCCAGCACTCAGGAGGCTGAGGCAGGAGGATCGCTGTGAGTTCGAGACAGCCTGGGTTACATAGTGAGTTCCAGGTCAGTCTCAACTATGTAGTGAGACCCTGTCTCAACCCCCCTCCCCAAAAAAAGACCCATAGTGAATAGCCTATCTCTCTGTCTTGTAGTGTTTCATAACCATTCCTTTCTTCTTTCCCTAATCCCTAGTTAGGTGGTTCTAAACTTTTTTCAGATCAAGGGCTGCATGTATAATTTGAAGAGGTCAGGGCTGTGAGAAACTGATCTATAGGCTGTGGATTTGAAGTGGATATCCGTTGTTGTAGACTTTCTTTAGTCACTGTGCTTGGTAATCCAAAGAAATACTGTAATGTTTTAAGCTGTAGATAGGTTTCACAGAGTATGTGTTTCACCTTGATGAAAAGCAAACACTGTATGCTTTATTTCAAAACATACACACATTTTGTTTCTGGAAATTTTTATCAAAGATCACTTTGGTACAGTTCTCTAATACTTATTTTCCCCCTCTCATTTAAAGCTTGGTAAAATGAGGCTGACAATTCCATGCCGAGCCCTCACATGTTCTCATCTGCAGTGTTTTGATGCAACTCTTTATATTCAGATGAATGAGAAAAAACCAACTTGGGTCTGTCCTGTCTGTGATAAGAAAGCCCCATATGAGCACCTGATTATTGATGGGTATGTCTTTCTGAGTTTTTCTTTGTACCTTCAAATGACCATCTTTATGTGCATTCCTTACTTAACAGATTTGGGATAAAATTCTACTGGTAATGTTTTCTAAGTTAAATGTAAATTTGGAGAGTTCTCATGATTCTAAAAATCAGTTGTTTTTTGTGTGTTTGTTTGTTTTGAGGATTTCTTTTTTGGTACCAGGGATCAAACTCAAGACCTTCATGCTTGCTAGGCAAGAGCTGTGCTGCTGAGAAATCAGTATTTTTATTCAACTATTTTTATTTTCAATGCTATTTAAGCTTTCAATAATCTTTCATTCACTTAGTTCTTTATTTTTATTAGTATACGTTTGCAATACATATGATTACACTAATAGAGGGAATTTGGTACGTTATATAACACATCTTAATTCTTTTTTAGAAATATTTTCAAGGTGAGTAATTCAGGCTACACCATTTTTTGAAATTAAGTTTTTTCTTTGCTTTGTCTTCCATTTTTGTGAACTTTTTAATGTTATTAGAAATATTTGCTGGGCATGGTGGCACATGCCTGTAATCCCAGCGCTCGGTGGGGCTGAGGCAGGAGGATTGCTATGAGTTTGAGCCCAGCCTGGGTTACATAGTGAGTTCCAGGTCAGTCTCAACTACCTAGTGAGACCCTATCTCAAAAAACAAAAAAGAAAAAGAAAAATAATTTTTGACAATGTCATTTTTCATGGTTATACACATCCTTAAATAAGAGTGCCAATATTTTCTTATTTAGCACTCAGTTTTGAGAATAGATATTATTCACCTGTGCTTTGTTTTCCTCATTTACGCTTGTAGAAAATATACAAGGTCTGAATATTTAAAAAGTAGGATTAAAAAGTATTTTATCTTCACTTAAAATGTAATATCCTAAGGAAAAACTTTTTTATAGCTTGTTTATGGAAATCCTAAAGTACTGTACAGACTGTGATGAAATACAGTTTAAGGAAGATGGCTCCTGGGCACCAATGCGATCAAAAAAGGAAGTACAGGAAGTTTCTGCCTCTTACAATGGAGTTGATGGTAAGTGAGAGTTTAGTAATCTATAAAGTCATGCTAGGGAAACAATATCCTTTTAAATCTTACAAATTTGGTACAGGGTAGCTATGCTCCTTTTTCCTTTGTGTGTGTGTGGGGGGGTGTGACATAGGACTTTTGATGTTTTGGCTAGAAGGGGGTGGGTTTTAAAAATGTATTTCTAAGCATGACAGACTGTACAGGTAAATACAGTTTCTGCTCTCAAACTGCTTTTATTCTGAAGTGGACATAAAGCATATGCTTTGACTGTTTTCTAAATAATCCTTTAACAACCAATAATAAATAATGGTTTTACATGTAGTAGAATAGAACCACTGTAGGTTTCCTGCTCTCTGGCTCCAGCAGTATCACGAGTCTGAACGTGATAGATTGATTGAGGGAACATTGAGGAGTGTACTTTATTCATCTTGTATTTTACTCCTTCCCACACAGGATGCTTGAGTTCCACTTTGGAACATCAGGTGTCTTCTCACAACCAGTCCTCCAGTAAAAACAAGAAAGTCGAGGTTATTGACCTAACCATAGACAGCTCATCTGATGAAGAGGAGGAAGAGCCATCTGCCAAGAGAACGTGTCCTTCCCTTTCTCCCACCTCACCGCTAAACAATAAAGGGTGAGTGCTGAGATACCCCCTCCATTTGTTAAAGAGGGATTAAAGACGTACCTGATAAAATGATGTTTAATTGTAAAATTTAAGTTGGATTTCCCAAGTGTGTGATATTCTTGAGAGCTTGGAGTAGTGCATTAACATTAAAAGGGCCACTTACATACAATATTGACCATATTGAAAGATGATTCTAGTACACAGAGTAGTTTTCAAACTGTGGTATACATTAGAATCAGAGAACTTATCAAAGTATATGTTGAACATCTGTCCTAAGCCAGAAGTACAGGCATAGAAAATGTGGATTTCTGGTAAGTTCCCAGGTGATTTCCTTCCTTCTTTCTTTCCCTCCCTCCCTCCCTTCCCCCCTTCTTCCTCTCCCCTCCCCTCCCCTTTTTTT